AGTTTATCCTGGTCATAGTACTCCTATGGGGTTGCTTTGTTTCCTCTTAACTTTTGCATTTATATATTTGTGTATTTACATTTTTGTGGGTTCTCTGTAGCCTGTGTTTGCCTGTAGTTTTGTGGTGTGCATGACTGTGGTTTGCCTGTGGTTTTGTGGTGTGCAAAACTCTGTGTTTGCCTGTAGTTTTGTGGTGTGCATGACTGTTTTTTTGTTTTGTTTTGTTTTCTGTGCTCAACATCTTCTTAAATGTTTCCTGAAAGGCTGGTCTGGAGGAAATATATTCTCTTAGGGACTGGCTATCTGGGAAAGATTTTGTTCTCTGCCATTGATGGAGCTTAGCTTGACTAGGTATGAATTCTTGGTTGGAACTGCTTTTGTTTAAGATCATTAAAAACTGGACTCCAATTCCTCTAGTTTGTAGTATCTCTGGAGCAATTCTGATGGGTTTTCCCTGATAGGTAGTCTGGTCTTTCTTTCTTTCTGCCTTTAGGATTTTTTCTTTTGTGCTTACCTTTCAAAGACAAATTACTATGTGTCTTGGCAATGGTCTTCTGATGCAATATCTTGCAGGTGTTCTCTGAATCTCCTGCACTCTGAAGACTCTTCGTGTCTCTAGTGAGATGGGGGAGTTCTCTTGAGTGACCTCATAAAGTATTTGTTCCATGGTGTTTTCATTTTCTCTTTTTACTTCAGGGATACTGATCAGGCATAGGTTTGGTTTTTCCAACAAGTCACACAGCTCTCAGAGGCTTTTATCCTTTGTTTTGAGTGTGTTTCCACATTTTTAAAAAAGATTTGGGGTACAATTCAGGGTTAGGTATACAAATGTTCATTATGCAGTTACCCTTGTTGATGAGGTGTCCCCCTCCCTCCACTGGCAGTTTCCTTCAACTATGAATCCCACTCCCCCTCCCTTGCCAGTTTCCCACTGCTGCCAATCCCTTTCTTATAGTATTGCGATAATGATTCAAGGTCCTCTTATAAGTGAGAACATATAGTATTCTGTTCTTTGTTTCTGTGATAGATCACTGAGTATGGTCAACTGCAAATCCATCCAAGTGACTGCAAAGTCCATGTGCTTGTCCTTCTTTATGGCTGCATAATATTCCATTGTGTATATATACCATTTTTTTAAATCTAGTCCAGCTTTGATGAGCAACATGGTTGATTTCATGTTTTTGCTATTGTGAATAGAGCTGCAACAAGCATACATGTGTGGGTAACTTTTTTGTAGAATGATTTGAGTGCTTCTATGTATATTCCCAATAGGGGAATTGCTGGGTCATATGGAAGGTCAATTTCTAGTTCTTTCAGAAATCACCATATTGTCTTCCAAAGAGGTTGCACTAGTTTGCATTCCCACCAGCTGTGTAGAAGTGTTCCTTTTTCTATGTATCCTTGCCAGCATCTGTTGTTTGTTTTATTAATGATGGTCATTTTTACTGGGGTCAGGTGGTATCTCAATGTGGTTTTGATTTGCATTTCTCTGATGATTAGTGAGGCTGAGCACTTTTTTATGTGTCTGTTTGCTGCCCATATACCTTCTTTTAAGAAGTATCTATTCTCAGTATGGTGATTTCTGAAAGAACAGGAAATTGACCTTCCATATGATCCAGCAATTTCCTTATTGGGAGTGTACATGTAGGAACTCAAATCATTCTACAAAAAAGGTAACTGCACACGTATGTTTGCTGCAGCTCTATTCACAATAGTAAAAACATGAAACAAACTATGCTGCCCATCGAACCTAGACTGCATTTAAAAAATGTGGTACATATACACAATGGAATATTATGCAGCCATAAAGAAGGATACACATATGGACTTAGTAGCAACTTGGATAGATTTAGAGTCGATCATACTTAGTAATCTATCATGGAAACAAAGAACAGAGTATCATATATTCTCACTCATAAATGGACCTTGAACAATTATCATAATACTATGAGAAAGGGATTGACAGTAGTGGGAAACTGCCAGGAGAGGGGTGGGAGGTGGGATTGGCAGTTGAGGGAAACTGCTAGGGGAGGGAGGGGCACATCTCAACAACAAGGGTACCTGCATAATCAGTGTTTGTATACCTAACCCTGAATTGTTCCCTACATCTTTAAAAAAATTTTTTTAAAAAGTGTTTATTTTTGTTTTGTGCTCACTTTTTACTGGGGTTGTTTGGTTTTTTCCTTGTGGGACATTTGAGTTCCTTGTAGATCTTTGATGTTAGGCCTTTGTCAGACATACAGTTGGCAAATACTTTTTCTCATTCTGTGAGTTGTCTTCCCACTCTCTTGATGGTTTTTTTTTGTGTGGTTTTGTTTTTTTTTTTGCTTTCCAGAAGTGTGTCAGTTTGATGAGGTCCCACTTGCCTATCTTATCTCTATGGTATGGGCACTTGGGGTTTTGATCAGGAATTGGTTGCCAGTTCCAATTTCCATAAGGATAGCTCCTGCATTTTCTAAGATTCTTATAGTTTGAGGTTTTATGTTTAGGTCTTTGATCCATTTAGAGTTAATTTTTGTGTATAGTGATAGGTAGGGGTCCTGTTTCAATCTTCTGTATGTGGTCAGCCAGTTTTCCCAGCACCATTTACTTAATAGGTTCTCCTACCCCCAGTGATTGCTGTTGGAGGCTTTGTCAAAGATGAGTTGGTTGAGGAATTGAGGCGTTGCTTCCGGAATCTCTATCCTGTTCCATTGGCTTCTGTTCCTGTTCTTGTATCAATACCAGGCTGTCTTGATTATTGCAGCCTTATGATAAAATTTGAAGTCTGGAAGTGTGATACCTCCTGCTTTGTTCCTTTTGCTAAGGATTGTTTATGCTATTTGTGTTCATTTATGTTTCCATATGAATGGAGCTCTTTATTTCTATTATTTCAGAGTAGGCTTTTTGAAGTTGGCCAACTCTGCTTTTCCTTCCTGTATGATTTCTTTGAGTTTTGCTTCATGTTTGTCTTGCTTCCTGTCACTTATGCCATCCATTTGCTGGTTTCTGTGCTTGTCAGCTGGGACATGTCTTCAGAGACAGTTCGCTGTCCGTACTCCGTGGTTTCTTTTTCGTGCACTGTCTCTGCAATTCTGAGAGTTGCTTGCTTTTTGGTCTTTCCTCCTTTGTCTGAGAAATCTCTTTACACAGGAAGAGAGGGTGGAGCGCCAACCTGTGGCAGGCTCTTGTTACTACAGCTTTTTCCTCCTTTGCGAAACTGAACATGCCAGTGTCTCTGCAACCTGACGCCTGTGATTGACCAGGCAGCAGGGAGAAGGGAAGGGCCATCAACTCGAGGCGACCCAGAATAGCTCACGTGCTCCCTCACCCAGTGCGACCTCAGCTCCTATCCATGCCTAGTTTACCGCGGAGGATGGATGGGCGCCAGAATTTTTATGCCTGCCTTTTTGTTCCCCGTGTGTCCAAGGGCTGCCATGCTGGTTGCAGGGCGTTTCACCCTTCCAGGCGCACTCAGGGTGCCTCCTTTAATCGGCGGCTGGATCTCCACTCGCTGCCCTGCCCGTTAAGAGGCATCCATCTGATGTGCCACCAGGGGCTGGCAGCAGGCATGCCAGTCAGTTGGTCCCCCACACGGGACTTCCCACGGTGGCCTTTGCTCCTCATCCCACCTGAGCTTTGGGTCCCACCGCTGCATCCTGTCCAGCTTTTTCCCCCACGTGCACCTGACGTTTCATACACTGGTGGTGGTGGTGGTGGGGGGGGCAATTCAGAGCTCATACGATCACTCCACCCTCTCCTTCTCCACACAGAATTTCCTTTTCTGTGAGCCTCTAGGGGAGAGCAATGATGACCCTTTAGTCTTTCACCCATGTGGGGCTGTCTTTTGGATGTGGTGAGAGGTGGGGTTTAATTTCATTCATCTGTGCATAGATATCCAGCTTTCCCAGCATCGTTTATTGAAGAAACTGTTCTTTCCCTGATGCGTGTTCTCGGTGCCTCTGTCAAAAAGCAGTTTGTTGTACATCCATGGTATCTCCGTTCATCTTGTGTTGCTATAATGGTATATAGAAGACTGGGTAAGTTGTCAAGAACAGAGGTTTTGTGGCTGATGGCTGTGCAGACAGTACAAGAAGCTGATGCTCGCACTTGGCTTCTGGTGGGGGCTTTGCTGTGTGAAAACATGGTGGAGGACATCATAGGAGAAGAAAGCATGTGCAAAGAGGGACCACACGTGAGGAGTGTCCCAGCTCTATACACTCCCACTATTATGGGAACTAATCCATTTCCCTAGAGAGAAAAGAATCCAGTGTCTCAAAAGTGAGAACTCACTCACTATGACAAGAATGGTACCAAGATAATCTTGAAGGATCTGCCCCCTTGATTCTAACACATAGCACTAGTCCCCCACCCTCCAGTGCCACCACTCCAAGGGTAAATCTTCAACATGAGGTTTAGTGAGGTTTGGATTCATTTTTGTGTTCTTGATTCTGGACCATTGGACTATGTGTCTGTTTTTATCCCACTACTGTGCAATTTGATTATAGCTTCGCAGCATATTCTGAAGTCAGGTACTGTGATGTCTCTAGTTTTTTGTTTTCTTTTTTGTTCAGGATTGCTTTGGCTATTTGGAGTCTTTTGTGGTTCCCTTACAAATTTTAGGATTTTTTCCCCCTATTTCTGTGAAGTATGACATTGGAATTTTGCTATGAACTGTGATGAATCTGTAGATTATTTTGGGTGTTCTGAATACTTTAACAATGTTAATTATTCCAATCCATGAACACAAGATATCTTTTCATTTATTTTCATTTATTTGCATCTTCTTTACTTCTTTGCATCGATGATTTATAGTTTTCATTGTTAAGATCTTTTACCTCCTTGGTTAAATTTATTCCTAGGTAATTTTTTTTGGTAGCTATTATAAATGGGAAATGGGACTGCTTTTCTGTGTGAGACAGACTGAAATCTCCCAGGCTGGAGTGCAATGGTGTGATCATAGGTCACTGAAGCTTAGAACTAATGGGTTCAAGTGACCCCCCCCACCTCAGTCTCCCAAGTAGGTAGGACTACAGGCATGTGCTACCATGCCTGGCTAATTTAATTTACTTTTTAAAAAAAAAAACCTGGGTTTCACTCTGTTGTTCAGGCTGGTCTAGAATTCCTAGTCTCATACTGTCCTCCTGCCTCAGCCTCCCACAGTTCTGGAATTATAGGTGTGAGCTAGCATACCTAGCCTGGGGTTGCCTTTTAAGTTTCTTTTTCAGATGGTTCACTATTGGCATATAAAAATGCTACTAATTTTTGTATGTTGATTTTGTATCCTGCAAAATGCTATATTTATTTATTAGTTCTAACAACTTTTGGTGGAGTCTTTAGTGTTTTCTATATACATAAGATCAGGCCATTTGCAAAGAGAGACTATTTGATTTTCTCCTTTCCAATTTAGATACTTTTCTTTTTCTTGCCAAATGGCTCTTGCTAAGATTTCCAGTAATATGCAGTGAAAGAAGTCATCTTTGTCTTATTCTGTATCTTGAAGATAAATTTTTTAACTTTCTCCATTCAGAATTATATTGTCTATAGGTTTTTCATATATGACCTTTTCTTTGTTGAATTATGTTTCTCCTATATCCAATTTGTTGAGTGTTTTTATTATTAGGGGATGTAAAAGTTTATCAACTACTTTTTCGTCATCTATTTAAATGATTATATGAGTTATGCCCTTCATTCCGTTGATGTGATATATCACATTTATTGATAAGTGAATGTCAAACCATCTTTGCATCTCACTTGATCATGATGAATGATCTTTTAATGTGGTATTAATTTCTTATAGTCAGCATTTTATTGAGGAATTTTGCATCTATGTTCTGTAGGGATATTGGCCTGTGGTTTCCTTTTCATTGTCCTTGTATGGTTTTGAAATCAAGGTAATACTGACCTTGCAGAATGAGTTTGAAAGAGTTCTTTCCTTTTCAACTTTTTTGAAATAGTTCGTAAAGAATTGGAATTAGCTCTTCAGTAAATGTTTTGTAGAATTAAACAGTAGAGGCATCAGGTCTTGGACTTTTCTTTAATGGGAGATTTTTTATTCCTCAATCTCACTATTCATTACTCATTATTTGTCTGTTTAGTTTTCCTTTTTGGTTTAATCTTGATAAGCTGTATGTGTCTAAAAATGTGTTTATTTCTTCTAGATTTTCCAATTTGTTGGCATATAAATGTTCATAGTAGTTTCTTATGATCCCTTGTATTTCTGTGGTGGTATCCATTGTACTGTATTCTTTTTCATCTCTAATTATATATTTTTTAGTTAGTCTAGCTAAAGTCTGTCTTTTTTAATCTCAAAAAATCAACTCCTCATTCACTGATCTTTCATATTTTTTTGTCCCTATTTCATACATTTTGCTCTGATTTTTACTAATTCTTTCCTTCTACTAATTTGAGTTTAGTTTCTTGCTTTGCTAGTTCCTTGAGATTCATCATTAGGCTGTTTATTTGAGAGTCTTTTCAATTTTTTATTTCTTTTTAGAGATAGGGTCTGGCATTACTGCCCAGGCTGGAGTGCAGTGGCATGATCACAGCTCACTGCAACCTCAAATTCCTGGGATTAAGCAAACATCCCACCTCAGACTCCACATTGGCTAAGACCACAGGCATATGCCACCATACTTGACTAATTTTTTTTGTAGAGACAGGGTCTCACTATGTTGCCCAGTCTAGTCTCAAACTCCTGACCTTAAGTAATCCTCCTGCCTCAGTCTCCTAAAGAGTTTTTTTTTTTAATATAAATGTGTATTGCTATAAAGGTATCTCTGAAGACTGATTTTGTTGTATCCTTAAGTTTTGGTCTGTTGTATTTCCATTTTCACTTGTCTCGATTAATTTTTCTTTTGATTTATTCATTGATCCATTGATTGTGTAGGAATATGTTGTTTAATTTAAATATATTGGTATAGTTTCTGAAACTTCTCCTGTTGTTGATTTCTAGTTTCATTTCATTATGACCAGAAAATATATGTAATATGATTTCAAATTTTTGAATTTGTTGAGATTTGTTATGTGACTTATGTAGGATCTATTCTGAAAAATGTTCTATGTGCAGTTGAGAAGAATGTGCATTTTTCAAATGTTGGATGGAATGTTCTGCAAATGTCTGCTGGGTCCATTTTTTCTAGTGTACAGTTTGTATCTGATATTTCTTTATTGATATTTTTTAAGAAATGGGGGCTTACTCTGTTGCCCAAGGTAGAATGCGGTGGTTCAGTCAAGTTGACTACAGTCTCAAACTCTTGAGTTGAAGTAATCCTTCTGCCTCAACGTCCCAAGTAGCTGAGACTCCAAGCACATGCCACCACACACAACTAGCTTTTTTTTTTTTTTTTAGAGACAGGGTCTCATTATGTTACCCAGACTGGTCTTGAACTCCTGATCTCAAGCAATCCACTTGCCTCAACCTCCCAGTGCACTGGGATTACAGGCATAAGCTGCCATGCTTGGCCTGTTTTTCTATCAAAATTTTCTTTGCATTCTGGTTATCATGAAGCTTACAGGAAACATCTTGGATTTATAACAAGTTATTTTGAATGGATAACCAAATATTTGATCACAAGAAAGAAACACCATAGATTTTAGTTCTATTACTTTCTCACATTTTTTCATTTTGATCTTGTAATTTACATTTTTATATTGCTTGTCATTAACAAATTATTGTAATGATTATTTTTATTTATGTTGTTTTTTATTTTCGTACTAAGCAAATAAGTGGTTTATGTCCTACAATTACTGTGCTAGAGTATTCTGAATTTTCTGAATACTTACTTTTTCTTCTGGGTTTACCTGGTTTTGTGTTACACATTAGGACCCTTTTTTAGTTTGAGAAATCTCTTTAGCATTTGTTGTAAGGCTGGTATGGTTGTCAAAATTTCCCTTGACTCTTCTTTGTCTGGGAATATCTTTATCTCTCCTTTATTTCTGAGGGATAGCTTTGCTGAGTACACTGCCTTGGTTAACAATATTTTTTTTTCTTCAGCACTTGTTATAAATTATTACACTCTCTCCTGACCCTCCAGGCATATTTAAATTCTCTTATGTGTTATTTACTTATTTTCTCTTGCTGCTTTCAGTATCCTCTCTTTGTCTCTGACCTTTAAAAATTTGATCAGAATTGTATCAGTTGACTCTGATTGTTGACCTTCCTGTACTTGGATTTTTGTATCTTTCTCCAGGTCAGGACATTTTCTGTTATTATTTATTTATTTAAATAAACCTTCTGCATTTTCTTTTCTGTACTTCCCCCTGGACATAAGCTACGTGCATATTTGCCCTTTTGTTGCTGTCCCATAGGTACTATAACGTTTCTTCATTCCTTCTCATTCTTTTTTTCTCTTCTGACCATGGTCTGTCTTTGAGTTCATTGATTCTTCTGCTTGATCAGTTTTGCAGTTGATGTCCTCTATGGCATTTTTCATTTTGTTTATTGTACCTTTCAGCATTAGACTTTCTTTTTTATTATTTCAGTCTTTCTGTTACATTTATGATTGTTTCTCCATATTTTATTCAAGTAAACTGAGTTTTCTTAAATGAGAAACCCAAATACTAGGAATAAGTCTGTTATGAAGAATGCTTAACATATACACAAATATATTCTAGATATAAGCCTACAGAAGTCTTGTAATGCATCTCCATGTGCCCATCATCTACCCTAATAGTCATCATTGCATGTCCACTGCCACATCCACACACCTTCACAACCCTCCTCCAAACTACCATATCTTTTTAAACCACATCATCTATAAATATTTCAGAACGTTTTTTCAAAATATAAGAACTGTTTTAAAAACACATCATCACAATTCCATTATTACTTTCCCAAATCAATATTTTTCTAATCAAATATTGAGAAATAAAATTTAAATAAAGCTTGGGCTTAACCTTCAGGGAATTTTTAGCCTAGTAGAAAACATAGACAATAAAATTTGTGATGATACTACAGTAGAGTGGTATCATATGCCCATGTAATTGTTTGACTTAAATTCTTCTATTGGTTGGTGGTGAGAAAGAAAAAAAGAAAGAGAGATTGAGAAAAGAAAAACAAGGAAGAAGAGAAGAGGACCAGTCCTCAAAGGTGTTTTGTATACTACTATTTGGTGAGTTCTACATTAGAGCTCCTAATGTGCAGCTCTTGTGATTTTAATGTTTAATTCACTTATTTTTCTACTACTGTGAAGTCAGATTCAGTAAGAAGAACAAGGAGAACATAGATACTTACATATATCTGCCCTTTGGAACTGGACCCAGAAATTGCATTGGCATGAAGTTTGCTCTCATGAATATAAAACATACCCTTGTGAGATTACTACAGAACTTCTTCAAAACTTGTCAAGAAACACATGTTATACAGTACATTTTTTGCATAAATAATGTTTCCGTGGTAGATTCTTTTAGGTGAAAGATTCAGATACAAAAAGGAATATACTCATTTATCTTTCAATAATTTGTTCTATGCACCAAATAATATATTTGGAGATTTTTGTGAGCTTAAAAGTTCCCTCAGTTCTGTAGCTCTAAATCTGTGGCTTTATAGAGACCACACTATAGAGATCATCTAAAGTCAATGCACGTCAGCATGTCATGATTATGTGCAGTCTCTTTGAACTTGAGCAGTTTTGAATTCGGCTTCAAGTCCACTGGAGAGGGGGGAAGCGTTGTGCATACTCATGAAACACAGTGATTACTTTGTCATGACTCTTTAAGGGTTCTCTCCTTCACCAGAACATACATAAGCTAGAGAAAGTGGTTCTCAACCACGGATCTTAAAAGTGATCTTAAAAGTGGTTCTCAAACACTGATCTGCATTGGAATCACAGGGGACCTTTAACATTTTATGACACCTTGGTCATCTCAGAACTTCTGAAATAATTTTCTCGGAGTGTGGCTTTACAAGCTCTCCTACTGATTCTCGTATGAAACCAAATTTCAGAATCACTAATTTAAGGCATTACATTTCTGCCAGGTCTGAAGGAATCTCACAGGCCAGGGTCATCCTGACTATTTGACCTCACCTTCCAAAAGCCCAGCTCGAGAAAAACTGGGCTCCCTTTCAGCCCAATAATAAGTCAATGAATGTTCTTTCCCTGCTCATTCTGTTCTCATCAAGTCTTAGTTCAATCCCTAAGGCTCCCAAAAGCACTTTCCCATCTAGTACAGGGCCTCATTTACTCCTCTGCTTTGTTATTGGTTACTGTAGGCTGTTATCGTCACCTAATTTTATACTTTGCCATTAACTCATCCACTTTTGTGGTCAAAGTTTTCTCTGTATCTAGAAATCTCTCCCTCCCCTGCCCCCTTAACAATAGCACTTCATTTTATTCATTTCATAAAATTCCAGTCATACCTTGCAGGGGACATTGTCCATTGTAAGCATTCAATAAGTGTTCAAGAAGTGATTTATACTTGATGTGAAAGTCTTGGATAGAAATTTTAAGTTCCTTTGATTTTTAAAATCAAAGTGGCTGCATGTGTATTTGTCTACTTGTCTGTAGCAGAGAAAATATATGACTGCTATCTGAAATTTTAAAACAATAATGTGTCATATTTCTAGAAATATTTGGAATTTATCCTCAGAAGAACTTTAAAAACAGTTGTCATTGATTCACATCAAGCAAATCGGACAAATACAAAAAATATTAGAGACCACACCATAAAGATCATCTAAAGTCAATACATGTTAGCCTGTCATGACTGCGTGCAGTATCTCTGAACTTGAGCATCTTTAAATTCAGCTTCAAGTTGAATATCTCTCGTACATATTTAATAGGCAACTCCTCCCCTGAAGTAGGTTTTCTGCATGGGAGAGGAGTAGGATGGAGGTGTTTTCCATCGTATTTGTGACTGGGACAGGTGTGTGGCTGTCCTGCATGTACAGACCAGGTGGCCCAGCCCTGACAGAAAGAAGCCTCTGAAATATCTGGAATGGGAAAGATACTTCCAGGGAAGCTTCCAGAGAGGTCCAGTCACCACTTTCAGTCTCCATGGAAGTTTGCTTGCCCATCTTTCAAAGGAAATCAGAAAGTTACTCAGCTGTTATCTCCCCAACACTAAAGGAGAGGTTCCATGAGAGTAGAATTAAAACCATTAGTCAAAAGACCACAGGACTTGAGAAGTTCCTGGTTTGCACATCCCTTGGAGGCCAAGAAGAAATGTTTAAGGGGGAAATAAAAAGCATGCTGCTTCCTGAAGTTCTCTTCCCATGATTAAACTGAATGATTTCCATTGGAAGGGGTTACTGGACTCTCCAGAAGTAAGGAACCAACTGCCCACATAATTAAAATGTCTGATATCTATTCAGAGATACCTTACAAGTTTCTACACATAGAACATTAACTTTATATGGCTTTTTGAAAATGGTTTGTTGAAATACCTAAGAATCTGGCTTAAAAATTTTAAACTCATCCTTTTAACTTATCATTTACATTTTTTCTTTGAATTGGAGTCTCACTCTGTCACCCAGACCGGAGTGCAGTGGCTGCTCCCAGACACTGCAGCCTCGACCTGCTGGGCTCTGGTGATCCTTTCCGCCTCACCCTTCTGAGTAGCCAGAATTACAGGCTCGTGTTACCATGCCCGGCTGATTTTTTGATTTATTGTAGAGATGAGGTCTTGCTGCCCAGGCAGGTCTCGAACCCGCGGGCTCAGGCAATCCACTCACCTCATCCTCCCAAGGCAAGGGATTACAGGTTGAGCCACCGAGCCCGGCTTACATTTTTAAAAAAGAGTCAGCATGCCTTTTCTCAATAAATATTTTGTTAAATGATGGATGGATGGAAGTTTTCAGTATCCAATTTTTACACAATTTATAGAGTGAGTATAAAGAATCCAAGGCATATGGTGCTAGAAGTAGTTTTTATGTTTGCAAGATATTATTATCCTTAATGTATCTTTTCTATTTTTTAATGTTGTTCTTGATCCTTCATTTATTGCTTCTCAATATGCTTGTTTAACTCTTACATATCCCCTGAAATTAAGCAAGCAAGAAGTACTTCTTCGACCAGAAAAACCCATTGTTCTAAAGGTTGAGTTGAGAAATGAGACTGTAAGTGGAACCTAACCTTCTCTAAAGTCTTCCACTTTTTTTTTTAAAAGAAGCTGTATTCACAACACCAGAGATCACAATTTGCTTTGTCAATAGAACCCAGAAATGAAGATGAACTTGGTCTACTGCAAGTGATAAGTGATTAGAGATTCTGAACATTCATTGGCTTTTTCAGTGTCTATGTATTGGACATTGTGTCATGTGAAAAAAATGACTAAATCAGTGCCAGATAGGCAGACTCAGCTTCTGTGGTTTTCACAGGACTATCTGCACCCATTCCTAGTTAGTGACATCAACTCTTCCTGAGCTCTGATCAGAGAATTAACATTTCTTAATATTTTAGCAACAATTTTTTGTGAAAATGAGAATTATTGCGGTGATGGCAGTAGTGACATTTATAGTACATGTTTATTTGTAAGATTCTAGAATAATTGAGAAAGTCAATAAACACCTCTTTACAAAAGGGTTGTCTTATGCCTTCGTGCACTTTAAGGAGGAGTCTATAGAACTGAATGAGAACCAGCAACTAAATATTTTGATCATCATAATTACAGATTCAGAACTCTAATTTGATTATTAACATAGGTGAAAGTTAAGCTACTGTAATTTTGCATTCCATAGAAAGCACAATCATAGTTCTATTCTGCCTTTTTTGAAGCACATATTTTTGTAACACTCAACAGAGGTATTAAATTATTATTACTTTTGATTTAATGTTTTATCCCATCTCCCTTGATGTTTCTGGGGTAGGAAATTTGTCTTCTCATACCTCTCATATTCCACCTTCAATTCTCAACTGTCTCAATACAAAGAACATTGAGTAAAAAAACAGTCAATTTGTCAATTGATTGGGCACCAAGGCCAAAAAGCATTTGTCAGTTTCAGCTGGTATCAGAAGCTTTCTTCTCCCTCATTTTCCTTCCTTTTCTGAAGAATTCAGCTGGTCCTAAAGCCATTCGGTGGATGGCAGCAAGGTAGTGGCCACATATTAAGGTGCAGGAGGGAGTGTTGGTGGTTCCAAGTCAGAGAGTTTGTGGAATGTGAAAGGTGTCCATGTGAAGGGACTTGGCCTGGGTGAGGGAACCCAAGCAAGGAGAGAAGGGTCCACTCAGAGGGGGATCTGGCAACAGCAGCCAAAGCCTATGTAGGATGCAGAGAGCCCATGTGAGGTAGGGAGGGGATCTGGGGGTGGGGAGGGTTGGGTGGGGAGTGGTCACTTAAAGGGGGTTGATCAAATAAGTAAATATATTTACGATGATGGAAACCCAGTTTCTCACTGTAGGAGAAGGAAGACTGATTCAGAAGGGGAGAAAACTGGAATAAACCCTGTTGAGTCAGACTGGGATGGAATGTATCAGTGCAAATTCACACATTAGATAGATATAGATAGATGATAGAAAGATGGATAGATGTAGATGTGTGTGTTTGTGTGTGAATGTGTGTGTGTGTGTGTAAAAACATATATTCCCTACTTCTCTCCAATGATAGGTCTAAGCAACAATGACATTTCAATGAACACACCTAGTTTTCAGGTAACTGCTTATAAATATCATTTTCCACTGAAAGGAACCAGGGCTCCTTAGAGAAATGACTGACTCCAGGGCCAGGGCTCAGAAAATACAAAATGAGCCTAGGAGATGTTGCCTGGTGATATTTTATCCATTTTTCCATTCTATGTCTTTTCAGTGGTGCATTTAGTCCATTCACATTCAAACTAATCGAAATGTGAGAGTTGATCCCTATCATAATATTCTTACAGCATTGTTTTTCTTCCTGTTTGTGTGTTGTCTTTCTTTTGGTTTTAGAGTTGGATCATGTGTGTTTTTAATCTTTTGCCTGTGATCTTGTGAAGAAAGTTGTTGTTCTTTTTTCCTTTTCTTCTGTGTTCAATACTTTCTTAAGTGTTTCTTGTAGAGGTGGTCTTGTGGCAGTGTAGATTCTTAGGGATTGGATATCTGGGAAAGATTTCAATTCTCCCTCACTGATGAAGCTTAGCTTGGAGTAAGGGGGGGAAACAAACGAGTGTACCAACAAATGGAGAGAGAGACCTATACTGAAACAGATAAAAACAATAGACCACAGCTACAGACTAACCAACTCCCATACAAAAAAATAAAACATACAATGATGCTAACATTCAAGCTAACCAACCACCTTATTGGTGTGCTGTTCCTCTATACAAAGATATGGTTTACAGAGAGGACAAAAGAGAAGAAAAGGAAGAGGAAAGAAAGAAAAAAAAGGAACAATACAGTAGGAATAGAATTAAGTCATTAAACTAACAGAACCTATCAAGCACACTCTGAGACTTTTTGTTTAAGTCCAATGTCCTTTCAGCCCTGATTTCTAGCTTTCTTTTCAAGCTGGTAAATTAGCTCACAGTTGGGTCAGTTGCCCCTGGCCTGCTGTGAAGGACAGTTCAGATCCCCCTCTGTTCCTCTGTCCTGTGTCTGTTTTTCAAGTTTGTTTCTCCCATTTTGGTGTTGTTACCTTGAATCACCAGCAGGTGGTCCTATCTCAGCTACTCGCCCCAGAGGGGTTGGGGCTGGACAGGAACCAGGCGGTGGCTGGAGATGGAAACTTGCCTCAGGGCACACGGGAGGAGACCCACGGCAGGCAGGACATCATGGTCCAAGAGAGGTGGCAGCTATCCCAGCAGATCTTGCCTGCAGGGGCTTCAAGGACTGAAGTCGTGGATCGCCTCAGGCACGGGTGGCATGATGTGCTATGGCCACCATGGAAGTCACGGCGGCAGCGCCAGCTGCCTCTGTGTCTGCGCTGCAGTGGCTGTCCAGACCGCTGCGATGCCCCAGCGCTGGCAACAGCCGAGCTCTGTGTGAAGAGTAAGCTGCAATGTTTGGGTCCGCAGCCCCCAGGAAGATAGCCAGAGACCCTCTGCATTCTCCTTTGCAGAGGATTTCATAGACCAGGTTGCCCCATCACCATCTTGCCGGAAGACTTATATCTTAAAGTTCTAACCACCAGTACCTCAGAATGTGAATCTGTTTGAAGATGGGTTTTTAAAAAGGTTGTTAATGTAAACTGAGATCTTCTGCGTGATCTCTAATCCAATAAAACTGGTTTCTTTTTTATAAGATATTAGGAACAGTTAAGACAGGAAGGAGACTATGTGAAGACAAAGAGAGAAGATATCCATCTACAAACAAAGGAGAGATGCCGCAGAATGAAACCAACCCTGTCAAAATCTAAATCTTAAATTTCCAGCCTTCAGACCTGTGAGGAAATAAACTTATGTTGCTTAAGCCACCAAGCGCTGGGTGATCCTTTGTCATGATAACCCTAGCACAGTAATACACTATCTCTTTTTTCTCTTGCTCTTTTTTTTCTTATTTGTCATGTTTATTAAACACATTTGGTTATTAGTACTGTAAAATTTCTTACCTTGTGGATTATGATGAATATATGCCTGTGATATATATCATTTAACTTACTCCACTGTTCTCTGTACTGATGTAAATTGATGCTTCTTTCTGTAAGAAGTTTCATGCTCATTTTTTTCAACATTACTTCATAAATGATGTGATGTGGTTTAATGAGGATTCACACAACACTTGGGCCATGTAGTTTTTCATGAGCTTAGCAGTCATTTATGATTATTGCCCAGAAACAATAACTTTTTAAAATTATTATAGACCACCCAAATAAAGACATGTCTGAATTGTGGGAGGGCTCAATATCACAAACTATGTTACAGCATTGACTTCTAACCTTGAATACAGTCCTTCAAGGTAGTTATTGTTAAAAAATGCATTTCATATTTTAAAATGAACTTATGGAAAGCTAAGTGGTTTACCTGAAATCACACAACTAATATCAGAGCTGGGCTATGAACCCAGGCCACATTCAATGTCGATGTTCTTTCTACTTCATCGCTGACTTCTTGGAAGACATAGGAACATAAGAACATGGCAATACAGGATGAGAGCTTAACATGTAACAGAAATATTACTAATAATATGGTATATGGCTATAAAGGAAAAATGAAAGCATGTTAATTTTATTGTGATTACAATGATTATGGAACAATTTATCTTTAATTTCTAGTAATATTATTATCTTATTTAAAGAAAAACAATAGAAGTATCTTATTCTTTAGAAACATTAGAAACACTTTTAAGAACTTTTGAGTGTAGACTAACATGGAATTTTGGTGAAGTGGACAGATCATTCGGTGAAAAAGTAGTCTTTTTTGAAGAAAAGTGAATGCTGACTGTGACTATTTGCTCTTATCATTCAGTTATTGCTCATGGTACAAACCACGGTTTGGCTAATATGTTTTCTAACCTATAATTGACAATAGTAATAATATAAAAGTTCAACTGCTAGTACAAACTATCTGTTATTAAAAAAGTAAAGCAATTCTATGCTTTAGAAACTATACACACACATATATATGTAATTTAATTTGAAACTCGCTGCAACATTGAGATATAGGTAGTATCATATTTATTTTATAGAGAAAGAAAACAAGATCAAAAATTGAGCTTCAGAAATGTTCAAGGGCACTTTGTAAGCTATAGAGCCAACAATCAAAAAATGTCATCCACTAATGTTAGATTCCAAAATATACACATTTCACCATCTCTATTATAACTCTCATGTTACTTTAAAAGATTTATCCAGTGTTCTCAATTGCTTGGAAAAAGTAATTCTCCATTATACAGGTTCCTGTATAGTTTTAGAACAACACACACACCATGTATTAAGTTTTATTTAGTACATTTGTTAAAAGAAAAGCCATATCACATTTGGAGAAAGAAATAAATTCCATTCAGCATTAGCTTTGTAGAGATCATTTTCTTTTTTATATATCAACCAATAATTATATTTAATATTGGGATTCATTCATTTTAATCAAACTAAAAAGTTTATTTCTTTACTGGGAATTTTTTTATGATGGAGTTTTACCATTGGAAGGGGATTTATAAAAGCATACTACAATGTGCTAGGAAGATCTTTTGCCCTATTACTGTTTGTTTATATAAAAATTCTTTTATATTTAATACTCACAATGGTGTGGGAGGACTGAAACACAGAACAAAGGAAAGATAAGACCTCATAAACTATCTGAATCAAAAATTGAAATTATTTTCTACAGAGAGGGGAATTAGTAAAAGACATAAGGTTTTCTGTACCTTCAAAGTGCATATCTAAGGATATTATGGTGTGTTTTAGTAATAAGCAATATTAAAATAAAGACAATTTTGAAAATAAACTATTCATAAGTGGCGGCTAAATTTATGAATTTGATTCATATATGTGTATATATGTATATTATGTGTGTATGAGTGTGTGTAAAAATAGTGACTATAGCTGTAATTTTAGAAGCTATTAGTAGCCTTCTCAATTTTGTTTAGAAACAGAAAGTATTGGAATAGTTTTTAGAGAAAGAAGCCTATCAGTCTATCACAGGTGGTTATATACTTACATGAAAGCTAGAAGAGCTGAAGAAAAGAAGTTCAGAAAAACTACTTTCAGAAAATGTGAGAGTTCAGAGATTCAACAATTCAGAGATGCAGTCAAAAATTATCTGAACTGTCTCTCAGAAGCTAAATGGACCGAATATATATATTCTTATTTAATCAAACACCCCATACATAATGAATCTTTCATTGCTTTTACCAATTCCTTTTTCTATGTGAAGATGTCATCTTTGTTATATTAAGATTCTGATACCCCTCATCTGCCTTCCATTATTCGTCCTCCAAAACTCTTTGCTGACTCCCAGATCAGTCTTTTACTTTTCAGATTCTGTTAAAAAGTAACCCATTTATTGAGAAATAATACTGCTAAAAAAGTTAATCTCACTCCATCTTGCTGTGACATCCCACATTGCCCCTTCCATGCATCCTCATCACACCAAACATCATTCTATATAAATGTAGTAATTATAAAATGCATGAGCTTTTCTTACTGTGATTTTTTTCAATATTTACTCTATATAAGACATTATCCTTAGTGCTTTACATGTGCTTATTAGCTTCATACAATGACCTTATGAATATTGACATCATTTTATGAAACCTTATTGACATCATCATATAAAAAAATGAAACAGACACACATGGAAGTGAATTAGCTTGCAAGATCGCTTAGTTTATACATGGGACAGTCTGGATAAAGTCCACATCCTTCAATTTGACAGATAGTGTTTTGTAGGATCTGGTCTCAGGCTTTCTATCTCAAATGATACTAAGTTGAATGATATAAAATTCCAGATTCAACCATTTTTATACCAATAAAACCAAAACTTATAATATTTTCTCCTATTATTATTGCCATATTTTCTTCTTTTTTTCTTCCTATTGCATCATAACCTACAACCTTATTATTTTAAATGTCACTGATGTGTCATGATGATACACACCAAGATCATTGAGAATGTTGCAGCAACAGAGCATGTTTCACACTTCCCTGCAACCATTCCCCTAGTTTATATTTATCTTTATCTCTGGACCTAACTTATATCTTGGGATCTGAGAAACTCGCCTCTGATTCTCAGATAACATTAAGCATCTAAATACACTCTCAGTGTGTTTGATTACTGTACATATCATTGTACATTGTAAATTAACAGCTTATTTACTAATCTTCCTACTGTATGCTACTTTTAAAATTTTGATGATATATATTTCCTTCTGTCTTAATTTGTTTGTATGTTTTATAATTTTTCTAACAAGTAGTATGAACGTTAATATATTTTCTGTATGGAACTTAATCCTTATTCTTTCGTTTTCCTTAACTTAAGCTGAAAAATATTTTTTTCTCTTGCTTAGCCTTCTGCCTTATCTTCTATTTCTATTCATAACCCAGTTTCTGTTCCAAAAGTTGACTGGCAGTTCAAATTTACTGAAACTAAAGTTCTCACTCTTGAAGAAAATGTAAATATAAATACATTTGCATATGTCCTGATTTCCTCTAAGGGAACGGATGGAGAGATTGTAGAGTAACTTGCATTTACCTAACAATCAAAGCCATATGCATGAAATTATTTGTAGAATAAACATAGCACATCTCATATGATCTTACTTTTAGTGCCTTCTTCTACCTACTATTTATCCATATATTCATAAAGATTGAATATGACCTTTATAAGTCATATTTGGAAAATGGGTAGATGAGAAATCAAGTCTTCTTTGTAAAAAATACTGTTATAGGACCCATTTGTCAACCAGGATATATGATGGTTTTGTATCAGTCTGTCAGCATAACTTTTTAGTGAGCTTGTAATGTCACTCATCTATCTTTATCTGCTGTGAAACTTCACATTGTATTAGTTCTATAGCACAATAAAACAATTGAATACTTTATGGCTTCCAGGTGAAAATAAATGTTTCATGAGGAACATTTTTCTCTTCACCAAACCAGCTGAAATATAGGCATATGATTACTTTTCTTTGTGTCAACAATTTTTTAAGAGAAAAATAAATCCTCTAAAGTTAGTTTGATGACTATTCAAAAGAAACTGCACTATTTTGCTAAGGTGCATTCTTCTCAGAGTAGTATTACTCCATTGACCCCTGGTATGATCATTACAACCTGCAGGAAGTCTACACAGTTAGCATGTAGTTGAAGATGAAAGGTAGTAGCAGGTTTGCACAGGATCAATTCTCAAGACTTTGCCTGCAAATTGAAGTCAATTTAATACCTCCTTCTAGTTTAAGCCAAATATTCCTTTCTTTGAGACAACTGTATTTTAGTTTACTATAAAGCTAAAGATAGGATAATGAGGATAATACTTTCAGAGGATTAATATTATATATTTGTGCCTATTTTATATATTTTCTATATTTTTCATGTTAAGAACCAAGTTTCAATAACTCAAAGCAAGCTCTGCTTTTGTTTTCCTTTTCCCACAAAAGG